TTTTACACATGTCACTTTCAGTTCCCTCTCCCTCCCCTCCTCCCCCACCCCCAAATACTCCCAACCCCTCAACTCCACTACATCCTCCCTCCACTCCCCAGGCCTCCATGAGGGATTTCCAGAGTCTGTCACATCATCCCAGGAATGGCCCAGGTTCTTCCCCATCCAGGCTGAGAGAGCATACCTCCACCTGGCATGGGCTCCCAGAGTCCCTCTGTATGCCAGGAATAAATGCTGCTCTACTCTTCAAAGTCCCACAGATTACCAAGGCCTCCTCTCTGTCACCCAGGTTCGGTGGGAGGATGTCTGGATCAGTCCCATGCTGGCCCCCCAACATCAATCTGGGGTCCATGTGATGCCCCTTGTTTAGGTCAGCTGCCCCTGAAAATTCTAATGCCATCTCTTCAAAAGTTTTTTAAGTATACTGTGGTAAATACTGCTACATTCACATGCATCTAGGGTATCTAGACCTAAATGACTGACCTCCACACCCCACATTTGTAGTTTCGGGTACCCCACTTGCAGCTTTAGGGAGGTGAATTTTTCTGAGGCTGCATATACTTCTAACAGAAACGTTCAGGTAGATGCTTGACCTAGAGACACTAAGTACCAGTGGTCGCTTGACGGGTGGCAAAAAAGAGAAGCTTTGGATTCTCAAAGCATAGTATGAGGCATCTGTACTTATTTGAGACTGTTTTGTTTTTTCTTCATTCCTCTGTCAGCAAAAGTGTATACGGAAATACATTTCACCAGAGTTGATATATATTGTAGCTTTGTAGGTAAATGTAAAATGTATTTGGACTTGCATTCATTCCGTCATGCCTTCATTGAAGGACATTTCTTTGCTTTGAAGCATTACTTAGGAGATAAACACATGCCCTTCTTTCAAGCTTGAAGGTCATTTTCTATCTGGCCTCTGTTAGAGAATTCTTTGCAGCATGCTTCATAGCAATGCCAGGGAGAGGGCCTGTGGGGTGGGTGGTGTGGGGACCTGTGTATTTTTCCACAGGCCTCCTGGGAGCCAGGCTGCTCACACCTGCACGAGCAGGGAAGGCTGCCTTAAACAATGTGATCAACTCAATTCTGTTCATTACCTCCCACTCCAATTCCTTCCAAGGGAATCTGGTCTTCCTGTCACTCAGGATAACCATCCCCTGCCAGCATCACTGGGATCCACACAGTCATAATAATCCTATCAAGAGTGCTATTCCCCAGCTGGGACTTTGAATTTATCTAACTTGGAGGTAGCTGGTGAGGGCATCTAATCCCCTGTGTTGATGTGTAGAACTTCCAAACAATTTACAGTGGTCTTCTTACAAAGTCAGGGAGACATGTGTCCAAATTTGCACAGACTAATCAGAAACCTATGATTTAACCCAGCAGTGGTATGGAAACAGAGTGGCTTTTAGCTGCTTGGTTGCAAATAACTCAGCCTCAACCTCAAGTAAATTTCTGGTGAGCCAAATGACAATTTGACAGAATGTTAGAGAAGGCAGTCTGGTGTACCTTCTAGGACACTCAAGAGTTTTGCTCTCTTTAACCCTAAAATAAAACTTTCAGGGAAATTGTAAGTTTCTGGTAAATATTTGATTATTTGTTTCAGTTATTGCACTGTTGGTTTTCCTAATTTTGTTACTTTTTTTAAGGTGATTTCTTAACTTTTTTAAGTGTCATTACTTCAGAGATCTTAATGCAGAGAAAAGTCATTCTAAACAGGTCTTCTCTTCTTTCTCCATTCCCCTGCCCTGGGATGCCTTCTGATCTCGCCACAGAGCACAGTGATGTCACAGGAGAGCGTCTCTAGGTGCTATTGTAGGGCAGAGCACAGTGATGTCACAGGAGAGCATCTATATTGTAGGACAGAGCACAGTGATGTCACAGGAGAGCATCTCTATTGTAGGACAGAGCACAGTGATGTCACAGGAGAGCATCTCTAGGTGCTATTGTAGGGCCGAGCACAGTGATGTCACAGGAGAGCATCGCTAGGTGCTATTGTAGGGCAGAGCACAGTGATGTCACAGGAGAGCATCTCTAGGTGCTATTGTAGGACAGAGCACAGTGATGTCACAGGAGAGTGTCTCTATTGTAGGACAGAGCACAGTGATGTCACAGGAGAGTGTCTCTAGGTGTTATTGTAGGACAGAGCACAGTGATGTCACAGGAGAGCGTTGCTAGGTGATATTGTAGGGCAGAGCACAGTGATGTCACAGGAGAGTGTCTCTATTGTAGGGCAGAGCACAGTGATGTCACAGGAGAGTGTCTCTATTGTAGGGCAGAGCACAGTGATGTCACAGGAGATTGTCTCTATTGTAGGACAGAGCACAGTGATGTCACAGGAGAGCATCTCTATTGTAGGACAGAGCACAGTGATGTCACAGGAGAGTGTCTCTATTGTAGAATAGAGCACAGTGATGTCACAGGAGAGTATCGCTAGGTGCTACTGTAGGACAGAGCACAGTGATGTCACAGGAGAGCATCTCTATTGTAGGACAGAGCGCAGTGATGTCACAGGAGAGTATCGCTAGGTGCTATTGTAGGGCAGAGCACAGTGATGTCACAGGAGAGCATCTCTAGTTGATATTGTAGGGCAGAGCACAGTGATGTCACAGGAGAGCGTCTCTATTGTAGGACAGAGCACAGTGATGTCACAGGAGAGCGTCTCTAGGTGCTATTGTAGGGCAGAGCACAGTGATGTCACAGGAGAGCGTCTCTAGGTGCTATTGTAGGACAGAGCGCATTAGTGTAGGAACCTCTGCTTCACTTCTCTTGTGTCTCCTCCTGTCTGAGGAATTCTTAGTGCTAGCAAGTTCTGAGAAAGGACCATCTTTTCCTTACAAAAGTGACCTTTGAGTCTACGTAGCATTTTAAAAGCTTGCTTTCACTAAATAGTGCAAATACAATTGAATAGCAGAAAGGGCTAGAGGAAGTTAGAAAATAGATTCAAAAGTATATCTAAGGCATAAGGACTCATCTCGTTTAAAAAATGTACTCTACTTTTTCTGTTTGTCTTCATAAACATATCTGTTTATCAAGATACACGACTGCATAAGTATATATTTATAAACTTGTTTCCAGTTGGCATCTGAGAGTAACTTGGCATCTCTGTCATACATATACACATAAATGTGCATATATATGAATATATGCACATGTTTATTTTTCATATGAGAGTCTGAGTGTAGATATATAATTGCATGGATATACTTGGATCTAATGTATCTTGTTAAAAATGACTACATTTTTATAAATGAAGTTACTTATATGGAATTTATTCTTAGTTGGCATCAAAAAGCAAGGTGGCATCTGCTAGAACTTTTCAGTTTTCATTTCCTGCCCGTGTGTGTATGTTCATGTGTGTGCATTTGTGTGTGTGCCACGTGAGCGCCTATGTAAAGTAAGAATGTTAGATGCTTTTTGCTTTGCATAGTTCCTTCAGTAATGACTAAGTAAATGTAACTAGAATTGTGATTATTACATTTAGTATTCAAAAGTTAAATTTAGAAAATATTTAAGGAGTTTTTCACAAACTACCAAATGAGGCAGGTCCACTATGTACAGTGAGTTGGAGAGGAGAAAGCCAGTTAAGTCATCAGTAGAGAGGAGTCAAGACCCATTACAGTAGGTGATACTTTATTGATTGGGGTAGACATTTTGTGCTTTGAGAAGGTACAATTTAGTTTTTTTGCATAGGCAGGCAAAATTGAATTATGTTAATTTATTTTAAATTAATTTGTCTTAATAGTTGAAGTCTTGGTTGTTTTTGAGGGTAGTTTTTAAAAACAATTTTTCGTGCCAACAGTACAAATGAAATTTGCCTTCCAAAACGGTTAACTTATTCAGTTAAACTTTCTTAATAGAAATATTTTAACATAGCCTTAAGCTCTAAGTCTAAGACAAAGAAAGGTGCTTGAAATAAATAAGACACACCCAAGAACATAGGTATGGGTTTCTCCAAGGAGAGTAGTCTAAAGTCTGACAGATGCCATACTAGGTTAATACAGATTTTTATTTTCAATTAGCATTATTATGAAAAGAGAACGACAACAAAATTACCTATGTATGAGCAAGTAAGTCAAAGTCAACACCTATTATTAGAGCATTTTTTAGTGTAACTTTTCATTGTATTCTATTAGGAAATTCAAGAACGATGAACGTTCTCTTAACATATATAGACACACACACGCACACACACGCACACACACACACACACACACACACACACGGTGGCTGGCTCTCTGTCAACATTCATTTAGCATTTCAGTTTGCCACCATAAAGAAATGCTTCACTCATCTCTGGCATTAATCTTGCACAGGTTGCATATGTATGCATGTATGTATTGCAACTTTGTACATGAAATTTCAGTTTACTGCCTGGTGACATACTTGTTAGTATCATGGACAGAATAATTCATTTATGGTCACATTGACTATATAGAAGACTTATATGTGTGTATCACATTGAAGATGGCAAGCATAGCTGGTTATGAACTTTTGCAATAGCTAAGACATACACATGAAGATCATGAAAGATCCATTTCCTATGCCATGAGATGAATGTATCATTTATGTGTAGACACCAAGATGATCAACTTAAAATGACATGGGTTTCCTATGAGGCAGCTGCAGAATTTACATACCAGATTCTCTTCCTATTAGTCAATACCTTGGACCTTCCCTTTATTCTTATTGCTACATGTATCATAGGATGCATTTTCTGTATTTTAAATATATAACCTGCTTTAGCCACTATAATCAGTATTAATTAGTATTTAATTGAATAGTATAATTTTCATATTTTAAGATTGAGCTTTTCCTCTGTTGTGGTATATGTTATTCCTGTGATATATATATCATACATATATATGTTGCTGTCATGTGTCATTGTGATGTGTATCATTGACTAAAACTATTGCTAAAATGTAAAGGAGGAAAAAAAACTAATTTTATATTGATGTGGAAAGAAAGCTTAACCTGTTTTCTTGCTCTCTCTTTTTTTATAGAGAACACCTGTTCCCAGCGCTGAAGCATTCCGGTGGTTCTTTTAAAGCAGTAGCATATCTTATTTTCAAGGCATTTGGAAATGAGGGGCAAACTAATGTCTTGTTTTAAGAAACCACTTAGTCCACCATTGAAGAAAATATCCAGAAATTATTTTCATTTTATGTATAGGGATTTCTTCAAAAAACAAGAGGAAAAGAAAAAGACAGAAAAATAACAGGGAAGCTTGGGGAATTGGCCAGTCTATTTACTTTCAATACACTGATCCTCCCTTTGATGTAATTTAGCTATACTAGTGAAGTTGTTGTCTATTTTGAAAGTGGCTGTAAAAAAATAAGTTTGGGTAATCCCCCACTGTAAAATCATGTATCTTTGCAAAGTACATATCTATACTTCATTTTCAAATATATGTGATTCAGTACTGTAAACTGTACAGATAGCAGCTTGTATTTTGTGTGTTTAGACACAAGGAGACAATCATGTCTGAGCATCTATGGAGATTAACAGTTTGTACACAACAATATGGTTCTTCAAGTTAAATCTGGAGCAATAAATTTTAGCTTTAAATATTTTTGCCAGTTGTTTGTAGAAGCAGAAACAACACTGGTGGTAATTTATGCATCTTTCTGTAGAGACTCGATGGCCGACTAAAAGATAATGCTGCATTCAGCAGCTACCTTCAATTGTGTCAATATAAGAGGGGAAGCTACTGTGAAGGTTTCAATTAATCTTTTGAGCACTATATTAGAGTAGTGGTTATGCACTTGCGTTGCTTACAAATGAGCTGTACAGAGGGTATACCCCCAAATACTTAGTGTAGTTGACTTGTTTGGGTTGCACTGCAAGGGGAGTACACAGAATAGTTGGAAAATGCAGAATCAGTTGTATAATTATTTTTATTTAAAAAAAGTGTTTTCTAGGCTGAAGTTATCAAATCATAAACAGAGAAAGTCTGCCTGACATTTTTTCCCCTAGCCGTACACAGGCTGTCCAAGCTTTTGATTCTTTGTTTATTTTTTGCTTTGGGGAGAAACAGGAAAAATAAAACAGAAGGGTATTCTAATGTTTTAACTCCATTTATGACATTGAATGGGTAGGTTTAAAACAATACTTGAATTCATGGAAGCCTGCTTTAAGACATGGCTGGGCACACTCTCAAATTAAAAATACTTAAACACATTCATTAAAAGTGAGGCTCTTTTGTTTACCTTCCTTTCTGTGTCTCTAGTGAGACAAGTTTTTCCCCCCAGTCTCTCCAAGGACGCCCACTGCTTCCATTCCATTCTCGTCTCTGGACACTTTCTTTCCATGAAGCAAAAAGCCACGGTATGAGCAAGTTGACTAAAACAAGACAGCTCATTCCCAGAATGCCTTGTAGAACCGCAGCACCTTGTCCTGCAGGATTGGCTTTTCCCAGGACAGCCATGTTTCTTAGGGGACTCCTATCCCATTAAGACAAATACTTAAATTTGTTTAAAATTATAATGTAAGGATCAGTTTCAGAATAATACATGGTTTAGCAAAAACACCTAGAAAGTTGCCATGTCACTTACCATCTTTGTTCCTTATGCCTGTCACATGGCTGAGCAAGATGAGTTAGAAGAAAACCATCGGAAGGGAGTGGTAGGGCAGTGAGAACTTAAAAGTGGAAAGTACTTCAAAGGCCGGGAGGTGGATCCTTTTTAAAATCTCCTTTCAGTTTGGAGTAGGACGTGGGAAGACACATTACTTTTCTAAAGGCAGGTCAAGTGCACCATCACTGGAGTGCCTTGATGAGAGCATAGGAGGTTTGTAGGAACATAGGAGGTTTGTAGGATGCCAGTGTGGGATACCAGTGGGAATGATGTGCCTAGCTAGCATACCAATGCTTAGTCTGCAGCATGGTCAAGCAGTCTTTGAGAGGAAAATGCATTATGTATTACACCGCCTGTGTTTAAAGGAAGGAATGAAACCATCAGAAGCTAAATGTTCTGTATATTACTTTTGAGATAGCTTTTTACTCCATGTATATTCTAGAGGGTTGGTAGCTATAATTTCTGCTTCGGCTGTAGGACCAATGAGTGCTGTGTGAGTTCTTCATTGTCTCATTGTTTTTCCTCCTCCACCTCCTCCTCCTCCTCCTCCTCCTTTCTCCTTTTCTTCCTCCTTCTCCTCCTTCTTTTTCTTCTCCCCCCTCCTTTCTCTTCCCTTTTCCTTCTTCTCTCTCTCTCCCCCTGTCTTTGCAATTTTTATTTTACTTTATTCTTACTTTTGCCAATCTGTTAACTATGTATACGTGGAAACTTATTTTCACATTTGAATGGCAAGCTTCCCTTTCTTTTGTAAAAATGATTATAAATGAAACAAACTTCTTTTCAGACTGTATTAGGCACACAATAAGAACCTCATAGCAATGTATGGACAGCCAAAACTCAAGGTGGTATTGCATGTCTTGATGTATTTTCTTCTTTCCTTTTACCTTTTTTTTCAAGACAATGAATCTGTGTATTGTAAATGTGTTGTTTCACATGACAGTTCATTTATTTTTAATGAAAGGAATTTGTTACTATAATGAGCAGTGTGGCCTTTCTCTTTAATTCTCTTACATTTTATTATTTACACTAATTTCTTTTATGCCACACACTTTTTTTGTTTTTGCTTAAACTCAGTTTACAAAATGTAGGGTACATATAGAGTTCCCACTGGTGATGGTGAATAAATTATCCTTCTAGATTCCCTCTAGTTTTCTTTCTCAAGTGTCTTTGTACAGACAACTTGTAGCCTTAGGGCAGTGACTTGAAGGTGTGCATTTTCTTTATTCCAAAATATCAATGAAACATAGCCTTTTACAGTTGCTCACTGTTCGTTACATTTTCCATATCATGGAAATTCAGAAATTAGCCATCAGATTGTAGATTGTATGTACAACTTAAAAATTGCATATCAGCTATTGCTAAGGCTACTAGAGAAATTCACACACGAGTCCAGTGTTCAGTGGATGTCATGCCCTGGCAGCATTTGAGGGGAGCACATGAGAATATGTGGGTCATTGGCACATAGCATACTAAGCGGAAAACGGTTCTCTTAGCTATCCCCTAGCACTACGGAAGAATATCATAATGCAGACCTCTGTCTTCTCTGACCTTCAGACTAAGGTGAGTATCTTTCTAGCAGACTCCATCTGTCCTCATACAAGCAGAGGCACGCTCACAACGTAGTACTGAATCCATCCTTGGGACATAAATAGAAGCATCATTCCCTAAGATATGCACATGTAAAATGTCTCCTGGTTGCTTAACCCCATGACCCTCAATTTCCTTCTGAGCAATCACAAGGAGTGGGAGATGATGGGCTTCCTATGAATTATTATTAAGTAATCACAAAAGGAAAGAACTGTTCCATCTCTTGTCAGAACCCCTGGCATGGACGTTGTTCAAGTGCTAAAGCATATAAACCCTTTAAGCTGATAGTATCAGTGATCAAAGAATGAATAGAGGGACACAGTTAAATGAAATGTGATTCAGGGTCAAATATGTTGAACAGAAAGCTGTAGTGGGTCTTTGATCATGGTGAGATTCACAGCAATATCAAACAGTTGGTTCTCTTGTAACAGCTAAACGTTTCAGAATTTGTTTTTATTAAATTTGGCATTTCACACTGAGATCTGTATTCCTAGTGAATAAAACACAGCTACTGTGTTCAGAGGGATTCCGTTTCAAATTGCCAAATAGATATTTTAGGACATGGGCCACAAACTGTACTCCTTTCCCAGTGTCCTCCTGTTCCAAACTGTGCAGTTATCAGTTACATTTTCTAATAGATATTTGTGTAAAGGTGTATGTAAGCTTGTGCAGTTATTTAAAAAAAGCAGTTCTGGAAAACAGTGTATTTATTAAAGAAAAATCACTTATGGGGCATGTACAAAACTGTAAAAAAATTAAAAATCACTTCAATTTGCCCAGTAAAGTTGTTTTTGTGAAATTTCTGTGTTGTTAAATAAAGGACTTTAGTATTCAAAAATCTCTATTTTTCCATGACAAAAATTTTATTTGTGGGATTTAAATTAATGAACACACAGTTCTGAAATTCTAATATTATTTATGATGTAAGGGTTTGTATTTCTACATGTGCCCTTATCTCAGTGGCATGATGCAGTGTACAAATTTTTCATAAATATGCTATTATTGTTCTTTTTGTTCACACATATCTATCTATCTATCTATCTACCTATCCTCTTTTTACCATCTATTTATATAATTTCTATAAAGAAAGAAGAATATGATGCTTAAGGTATGTTTTAAAGACTAAGTTGAAGATGAACAGATAAGCCAACTTCCCTCTTCCTCACCCATTGTAAGCATGCCTATAGAAAACACCTCAAGCCTTGTGCCTTGAGTGAAAATCTTTAATGATGATTCTTGAAGATATTTTCCATGAAGAAATATGGCACATGGGATTGTATCTCTGGTTATTCCCTTTCATTTTGATTTGGAATCTGCATTGTGTTAGTTTTCTTGTGATGAAATGCCAAGTACACTGCTATTCATTACTTATGTGCTGAACCCTTACTTCACTGCTTCTCAATACAAAGGGCTAATTTTATTTGATGTTTCTGAAACCACACACACACACACACACACACACACACACACACACACAAATCAAAACTAGGACATGGTATTAAAACTTGGAAATCCTTGATATAGGAACACACAGAACTTCATATTATTCGAAGACTTCGTGTATTTGACATTGATGTGTGCACTGTTAGGGTTTAACATTTTAAATAGAAAATATTTGGAACATGGCAATAGGATGGGATTATAGAAAGCAAGAAGTATGGCTTCAGTAATTCTAATTACAAGAGGCCGCCTAGGAGGCAACAATTTCTCAGGTAAGTCACTATGCTTTTTTATATTTTGGTGCAAGCAATGGAAGTATGCTAAGTATATTCAATTGGAATTTGGCAAGTAGTACTTTTCTTTACTTCAATTTGGCAAGCATATGAATGCCTGGAGATTCATATGTTATGATGAGGAGATGATTCTTCAAGAGTGTGGATAATTTGGCGAAAAGGATTATGCCTTATTAACTTTTCCAATATTGAACCAGATAATTTATGTGGTTTCTACTCACACAGCATGCATTTACCAAGTGTGTTGGTAAACATGTTTATTTATAGCTATATGCGGAACTTGTTTTCCCATTCTATTTTATGTTTTTTGTGTGTGAAGAAAAATACTCAAATCCACCACTGTGTACAACGTAAGGACCTATTTGCATGTGCTGTGTAAGTAGCAGTTATACAGGAGACTTGTTTATTTGAGAATTGGACCTCAAATCTTTTGTTTTGCCATGTTACCTTGAGTTCTGTTTGCGTCCTTCATAGCTCAGATTTTTGTTTACTTCTTTATTCATCAAGTCAGTGTTTCTGAATTTCTGTGTATTGTGAGCTATTAACCAAATTCCATCTTCACCCAGGTCTTCCTTTCTAGGGTTGTGGTGAAATGACCATGTCTTACAGGTGTTACAGTTGGCAAGCTGGAGGCACTTTGCTGTCTTCCTCCAAGAGCGCTGCTGTTTAAAATCATTCTGAGTCTATCCTGAGCAAGTGAATTCCATGACTGCTTTGAAGATTTGTCGAAGGAGAATCTGATGCCTGGTGCCCAGTTTGAATCACCATCTTCTGATTACAGCCTTTCTGAAAAGCACTCCTGTGGCTGAAGGGATGTGACACCTATGGTGGAGGGGAGCTTAGGAAAAGAAACAAAATTAAATTCTACCAGTTAACCCTTGACAAAAACATGAAGCATGGTCAGCTGGAAATTCTTATTATATACTTTAAGAATGTTTCTTTTCTGTGATTTGCCCTAATGTTTCTTTTTATTCCCATGTTGAATGGATGTGTGTGTGTGCACCTATGTTTGTGTACAATTAGGTCTTTTTCTGTACACATGTGCATTTTGATTCAACAGTTTAAGCTGTGTCCCAGAATAGCTGCATATTATCATGGGCTATTAGGAATCTGCCTTGGAAAGGATGCTTTTGTACTTATGTTTGAGTTGAATGCAGAGATTTATCATCATATAGTTCTTACTGAATTCTCTGCAAATCAGAGAATTGGGGAAAATTATGCAGAACCTTTTGGGGCTTGTAAGTGCTCTTACTGAGGTTCGGTTTTGATTTATTATCTCCTACTTCCAATCACTTAAGGAGCTGTACTGAAATTGTGAATAAGATTTGCTCCCCAGATGTATTACTTACCTTCCCATCATTTCAATATTTGATAGATTTAGATTTTATTAAGATATTTATATACTTGAAGTTTCAATGTACATCTAAATACTAATAGATGACTTGATTTTTAATACCAGGTGGAAAGAGAAGAGTCTAGGCATTAAGAACAATGTGGACATATCGTCCTGTGCCAAAAGGGAAAACCTGTCTTGTAAATATAAAGATTAAAAGAAAGTCTAAGTGTCTAGAATTTAGAGAGAAGAGAGTAATGAGCCAGGGGATGAGATTGTAGGATCAGATCTCAAAGGACCTTGGAGGTCACACTGGGCGTTTGCTGAAAAGACTACTAGAAAGCCACTGATGATGAGCAGGGAATCCCAAGAACTAGACATGAGTTTTACACTACATTGTAATGCACGTTGAATCAGGATAGAGATAGTGAAGACTATAAAATCAGACAAAGACAACAGGATCTGTAGAAATGCAAGCAGTTAGATATGTAAAGAAGAGAAGAATTAGTAATGACTCCCCGAGTTTTAGTATAAATAGCTGGAAAAGTGAAGTCAACATTTGCTGACATGGGGGAAAGTTATACTTTGGTTTTAGACATACTAATTTTGGCATATGGGTTGAAAGGTCAAGGTAGATTCATAGCTTGCAGGTAGAAATTGTATTTACAATCAAGAGTCTCCATGGGGCTATTGAAAGGATGAGTTTGAGTAGCCTGGAAGAGGAAACTTAAAGAAGGTCTGGGACTCTCCTATAATAATTGTATCTTTACTTTCATCCCAATCAGTTTTTAATGGGGGTACATATCTCAAGTTGATAAAGCAAGTAAACAAGGGAAAGAACAAGCAGTAAATGACTCCAGTTACCCTCCCTTCTCTGAGACTCAGATTCTTTTGACCTTTCAATCAACTCTTCATCACATGCACAATTTGTATAGTGATCAATAAATATTTGCCCACATACAATTCTAATTAATTATATGTGCAAATCTTTCCTCTAATGCATAGGTACATTGAGTTAAAAGTTTAATGTGATAACTGCTGTTTAAAAAAATTAAGCATAATTGTACTGAATTTGACCTCACAGTTCATCTTTCTGGGCTTGTATTCCTTGTTGTCTGTCCCTAAAAAGTAAATGATATTATTTATTTGATATCTCTGGGGACTGAAATGCTGGAACAGAAGTTCTGGATAGATATTGAGAATTCAGATTAGACTTTGTTGACTCCCAGTGACAAAAAGGGAATAAGATGTTCAGATTTGCCCAAATGATCCTTCACAAGGGAAAAAGTTGTCTCAATGATAAAAACACCACAGTAAAATTGTTCATTAATTTCCATTCTTGTTTCTAATCTGTCATTCTTTACAGAGTTAATTATAAATATTTTCACTAGTAGTTGAAATTCCTTCCAGGGAGCATGATGAACAGAAAGACAAGAGCTTGTCTTTTCTATTTGTAGAGAAAGTGTTTCTACCCACACTTCTTTAGTCTTCTTTGGGTTTTGAATCCACAATTTTGTAGAAGTTTCGATAGGACCCAGGTACATCCTGGTCACTGTAGTTCTGAGGACTAAATCACTTCAAATCCTAAGATACAGAGGGCTTCTGTTTAACTCAGTGTAATTCCAAGGACTTCTATGCCCAGAACAAGAAAACAACTATAACAATGACAAACATGAAAATACTTGATTACATGATTGCTCAACAAAAAGCAGGGAATATTATGAAATTATTAAGGATTTTTAAAGAAAATGCACAGTTGGGAGGCCTATAAAACAGCTGGCACTTACCAATAGGTTCTATCGTTAAGAAAACCATCTCATAAATAAATGTTCATAGAAACACGCAAGGGTTTATGTTTATAAGCTGAATTATGTTTATAAACTGAATTATGTAGTATACTCCTACAGCCTAACAAAGTGTGAGCATGAGAAGGCAGAGTACATGTGAAATCAAGCTCTTAAAATGGTATATTTGAAGGAAGCTGGCAGGAGATAAATGAATGTGCTTTAAGTCACCGCTGACAATAGCCTTTCACTTTTTTTTTTTTTTTTGGCCATTTGCACAGCTTGTGTCTATTCTGTTTTGTCTGTTCTGCCTGTTCTGTGTTTGGAAAGAAGAGTAATTCTTGTCAGTAATCATTATGTACATTGCCAGTATTGTACATTTATATCCTCAAAATCACAGTCTATGTATACTTCCGTTGTGTTCTTAGTGGAAATCAGCATATAATAGGCCAATAAACCTACTTCTGATTGAGATTTTTGAAAACCCTTTAACTTCTTATGTCTTTAAGAGACAGAAATTGCATTAAGTTGTGGGATCTTCTGTGGTTGTCCTGTACCTCAAGTTGCTTTAAGTTATAATCTGGTAGTTGTCTATACAGTGACCCCCAGAAAGTAAACTCTAAGATATCAATTGGAACTGGAAGATCAACTTGCATCCTGTCTCACTTCATAGTGCTACCACAGTGTTCCTTGAACATTTGTTCTTAATAGTTTTGACAATTAGCAGACTCTCATATGATTACTTTTAGAAAGAAAAGTAACAAATGACTTAGGAGTAGGCCTCATGTGGTAGATTACTTACTAGTTTTTCCAGACACTCATGAGGTAATGGGTTTTATTAGGACAATCTACTGTTTGAAAGAACATTTCAATAGAAGTGAAGTAACCAGGACACACATTCCTTATGAGAATGCTTATGAACAAATGGTAATTTGCAATGAAGTTGTACACTGAAAGTAAAAAACTTAATGACATTCTAAAAATTAATATATGTTTAATCTCCACAGCCTGCCTCCTACTTTGCCAATCTCTACTTAAGCTGTAGAATCCGCAGATACTAGATTCCATATAACCATCTTTCCTAATTCATTAAATATTAAATGGCTTCTATAAGAACAGAACAGTTCATAATATTTTGTTTTATAGTTACTGCACAAAGAAGGTAGAAAGGGCATTGTAGACAAGAGGTTAAATTGACAGGTGAGAGATTATTTCTGAAGTGGAAAGTGTTCAGGTGTTAGCAAGAGCCACACACTTCATACTTCATCTTGCTCTCATTCTTTCAGTCTTCTTAGCTTCATTTTGAGCTCTCACTTGTTCATACTGTGGCTTCTTAGACACCCGGGGTTAATTTTCTGTTTTTAGGAATTCCTAAATATTGATCATATGCTTTTCTTTTTGTTTTTTTGTTTTTTTTTTCGAGACAGGGTTTCTCTGTGGCTTTGGAAGCTGTCCCGGAACTAGCCCTTGAAGACCAGGCTGGTCTCGAACTCACAGAGTTCTGCCTGTCTCTGTCTCCCAAGTGCTGGAACTAAAGGCATGCACCCCCACCCCCCAGCTATGTTGATCACTTTCATCCCTCTCATTTTCAGCAGCAGTCCAACAATTAATTATTTCTTGGTGAGGCCAATTTGCCTGAATGGGGTCGTTCAGCACTTAAACAGCTATGGGTGAAGCTAACGAAGTTGTGCTTAACCAGCATGTGTGATCAAGGTGCTGGCTGGCACGCCTTTCCCCATATGTTCATCTCATTGAGAATGAGCAAAGAGTTATTCACAGACAATTAAATTTGCATGATAAGAAAAGTAGGACAAGATAAGAAGCAAAGGAAACTAGCAGAAAATATGATGGAAAGGGAAAAAAACGAATGAATGACTAACACTGGAGAACAAGAAACAAAATAAGCAAAATGGAGGGAGTTAAGACAATAAGGGAAGAGGAAGGAGAATTGATAGTGAATATCTCCAGGAGAGTGTTTCATTGAAGGGTTAATGGATAAGAAAGATGCAGCAGGAGGAGACAGAGAAACTGTGATCTTGGTTGGAATCCTAATAGAGTCATTAATTTCTGTATAATTGATAACTCAATTTGCTTAACTCAGAAGATTTTTATTAATTAGTCATGTATATGTATAAACACACACAACAAACAGACATGTGCAATGCCTTCTATCCATGATTGGGGTTCAGCAAAACACTGTTTCTGGGATGAAGATTTTTGTTTGTAATCAATCTGATTAACTTTCCAGCAATATTCGGATATATATATATATACATATATATACATATATATATATATATATATATATATATATCCTTACAGAAAACTGTGCTGATGTTACTGATATAGAACACAAGCAAATGGATTTTTTTTACAGGAAATGAGTTGTTTTCAGAAAACTAACAGAAGACCACCAAAGTCACAAAGTACAAATTCGGACTTAGCCACTAACTTTAAAATTATTTTTATAGAGATTCTTTCATTATATTTGCTTTTTCATCATTCAGCAATGAGAATGATGAAGTCAAAGGTTTTCTTGTTTCATCAGACTTACTTCTTAAACTCAATTACCCCATTCTTAAGAAAATATTCTTATTTCAGAAACAAAAATAGTCCCTTTCCCATCTTATTCTATTATTTGATAATAATAAAAACCTAGGTCACAATACAGAGTGCGTTACACTAATCTTGCTCTAAGATAAAGTTGGAAAAACTGACAAAGTTAAAACGTGGCTGTTCTTTATTGAGAAGGTAAAAATCTAAACCCTATCTAGAAGGTTTCTAGTTTTCATTTGGGGATGCAAAGCAGCAGAATGACATCACTCTCAGGTTTACAATAAAAAGAACCCAGACAAATGGGCACATTTTTAACCTCTCCAGAGACGTCTAATGAAACCTAAACAGGCCCCAAACTCAGAAAGATGAGATGTGTGTCACAACTTACCATTATGAAAAGGATCTCAGCATGAGATAAAGCAAGTAAGAACTATAGTTACAATATTTAATCCATTAACATTTAGCAAGATTTATAGAAAATATCCTATCATCTATCCTATCTTTGTGAGTCTAAAGTCTTATATATAACTTATATTTATCATAACTAATGGAAACTATAACCATAACTATCTGTCTTCAACTCCATCAAAGACCACAGAAGGATAATATATAAACACTAGAATTGAGAGAGACATCTTGCTACCTGGACAGTCACCTGAAGTTTTTTCGCAATGTTCAGACATCCATCTTCAGCCCATAGGCCACAGTACGTCTGGCAGACTTCTCAGGGAAGCAGGAAATTTTAAACTCTCCACCTGCCTTGGCAGTTTGTCAGTCATTTTTCTGTGTCTTGCCATGTTGAAGGCAAACTCCATATTGAATTTCTTGGATGCCCATCCTCCTTTCTGATGTAATTGGTGTTGCCAGGAGCAGTTGTGTCTCACTGTCATGAAAAACCCTAAACCATTTAAATGCCATATTCTTAAAGTCTTTGAAAGGTTTGAAGAATATCTCTCTCAAGTATATCTCTGTATATCTAAAAAACTAACTATAAGTTTGACTATTATAGTTGACTTTTATTAATTATGCATTACATCTTAAAAGATCTGTACAAACACAATATGTAAAACATAGGAGAAATATACATATCACAAAATTGACCTTGAATTTGTATCAATAAATGAAAATCCATCCCAATACAAAGTTTTCATTCTATATCCTATTCCCCTTTTTTCCTTTAAAAAGAGATTGATTGTGATCATTATCATTTATAACCAACCCCTTTTAAATGAAAATTAAAATTTATAAACAAATATTTGGGAATTTGGGAGTTGTTCATTCCAAACTGCTTCTTGTTGTTTGGGGGTGCTGTCTTGGAGATCCTACGGAAACCCAGAAATTCTGGTAGTAGTGGTCTGCAAGGCTGCCTTGTTCCAGTTGTTTTTTTTCCTTTCCTGTTGAAACACAAATAAATTCTCTTTTCCAAAATAACATATCCTTATACTTAAATTTTGAAGACAAGGCATTTTTAAGATATATAAGTTGGATTAATCCAGAAGCATTTCTTTTAGCAGTTGTTGATATTTCCTTAGCAGTCAAATGTAAATTCTTTCCCACCAGCCTGGTTCCAGAGCCACATCAGGCCCAAATGAACATATAGGATGCTATATTAATTATGATGCTGTTGGCTGTTTATGGTTTCTTATCAGCTGGCTCTGACTTAATTATTAACCCGTAATTACTAACATATATTTTTATAAGGTCTTATCTTACTGAGGATGCAGCCTCATGCATTCTCTCTTCCCAGAATCGCATGGCGACTCCTCCTTATTGACTACATTTCCCAGAATCCTCCTCAACTCCTAATCTCACATATTTTGCTTCCCTACTGGGCAACAGTGCTTTACTTATCAACCGATAAGACAACATATACCCAGGTCTTCCCCCATCAGTCAAATAATTCAAAGACAACACAAAGTATCCAGACTCTGTGTATTTTCCAACTTTATGTGGCTTATTTATTTATTTATTTATTATTACTCTATATCTTTTATTT